GGTGCGTCCTTTATGGTTCGCTGCATGTGTAAAATGAAAGTTGCGCAGTTGTCAGTGTATTGTGGAAAAGGTTTCCTATCGAAAGAGCAAAAAATCGGTTTCAAAATTTTAAATTGACCTAGAAGTCGAGGGAAACAAAAAACCCGGTTTTTCGCATTTCATTCGTTCAGATCAAAAAATTGAATGTTGTTCGTTGTCTGTTCAAATGTACATTTCAAGACCTTCATGCTTAGATAAATTTGCAAAGAACGGAAAAAAGGGCAATGTGCCAGTGCCAAACCCGTGGAAGACGCTTGGTTGCGTAAAGAGTATGCGATTTCGAGAGGTGGCAGCGAACGACCAGAGCCGTCGGAGCATTTTCTGGTGGGCTCGGCTCCTACTCAACGAAACCCCATATTCATACATCATTCTGTTCAGAATCGTAATGAGAATCTAACAACTGCGCAACTTTCATAAGTTCCATTATAACGAATTATTCCTTATAATCTTTTGATTTTCGTCACTCAAGGCTATTTGATGTACATGCTTCTATAGTTCAGCTCTAAGTTATAATGAATATCACTTCCGACGATGCATGCCTTTCAAAGTTCTTAGACAAATTAACTCCATTGGAAGAAATAGCTATAGGGCGAGTTGAGCACTTCCTCACACTTTTTGGCCTTTTCAGCCTCAACTTCCACTTTCACACCTTTTCATTTTTCATGGAGAAAACTCCTATTGTCCCTAAATCGTTAACACTAAAGTGCATTTCTTCCCTCTATTAACCTTATGATTCTCCATCTTCAAACTTCTAGTGTGTAGAAAAGGACTTACTCTAACTCTGTTAAACTTTCTTATGTGAGGGTCCCACTCTTTCTTCGCTCACTAGTAAAGGTGACCAGAGCCGTGATCTGTGTCTAATCTATGGTTAAAGCATTACTAGAAACTTCACACACTCAAAAGATCGTAATGGAGATGTTCATGTTGATTTTAATCTCAGTTATTGGGTCATAACATGCGACTGCTATTGTTTAAGCGTATTTTTAATAGGAAAAAACTTGAATGGATTCGTAGAAACGATAATAGGAACAAGCAAATGTTTGTTTAAAAATGGGAAAAATAAGGGGCACGTGATGTCGTTTGAGCACTTTTAAATAAATCCTTGTACACCCGGGCATTTTTTCCGTATACAGTTTGGAATGATAGATGAGAAGCTGCCATAGAATGGTCTGAAAAAGTGGCCGCAAATTTTCGTTATCAACTTTTCATCTCGACTGTTATAGCCGGGCAGGAGTTTACAAGCCTTCTCACACACGAGCGATTGTTAGTGGAGCAAATACTGACTGTTAGGCTAATAGTGATAACCAGCTGACAAGAATGCAAAAAAACTGCTCGTATTTTAAGGTTAGTCGCCTTTCGCGTGCCTCCACACCCCGTAACATTTCTGGGGTTAACCATTTCCTTA